TTCTTGTTAACCTATCCTTCATAAAACCATCCCCCAACCATCAATCCCCAAATCTTGAAAACATTATTTTCCTACTCCTCCTCCCCTTTTTATATCCAATTTTTCTTTTCTAAATCATTTGATACCCCCATACCTTATCTTTTCTAGTTCACTTTCAACTTTCTCCTTTACACACATCTCAACTCATCCCCTAACCTTTTCAAATTTTTTTTTGAATTCCATAAAACAGTTCATCAGCAAAAAATAAGTGTAATTCCCCTTTTTAAATTTTATTCCCAAAAATTTTAAACCCATCCTCTCCCCAAAAACCCTAGCATTTACTTCCCTTTTCAACCCATCTATAAATTATTTAAAAAAACCCTGGTGACATTAACCCCAAACCCCAAGATCTACTTTTATGGGAAGTAGTCTCCCTCTCTTCACACACCCTAACCCGAGCCTCACTATCCCCATACATGTCAAAATTTTTTTTCACACTTATGGTTTTCTTTGATTTTATTAAAAGTTCTTGGGCTTTTTACTTTTCTTGTTTTTCCATGGGGAAAATGGGGAAAAAGAAAACTTTCCTCCGTAAGCCCTGAGTGTTGTAAAAGTCAACTAGAATGCCCCGGGAACAATGGGTGTAACCCCCTTTTCCCGTAAGATTATAAAAAAGAATAAGAAGAAAAAAATTGTCAAAATGGGAAATTGAAAATTGCGTGGAGCTGTGAAATGTAAGAAAGAGATGATGTGGATGTTATGAATGAGAAGAAGTGGATGTCTGGCTTTTAAATGAAACAAAGTGAAGGGGGTGGGAGAGTTTCAATGGAGAGGAATAAATGGGGTTAGGTCAGGGGGGTTTTAAATAGAGTTAGGCTAAGGAAGGAGTAGAATAATGTTGAAGGGTGCTAGGCAGGAAAAGGGGACTAAAATGTATTTTTTCAAGGGTTATGTGGAGTAAAATAAAGATTTTTATGTGAAAAGTGGGTTATAATAAGGTTATGCACCTGGAGAAAAGAGAGTGTAGAGGAGAGAGAGGATTTTGGGAATGTTGAGTGAAGCGTGGGGAGTTTTGAATCAAGTGCGGGGGTAATGGTGGTGGGGTTTAACACTAAAAGGGGAAAAAATGTTATAGGGGAGTAGTAGGTTAAAAATTTTGGGTGGGGAGGGGTAAATGTAATGGGGGCCTTTAATTGAGCTTGTGAGAAAAAGATTTGGTAATAAGTAAAACATATTTTTGAAAAAAAGGATAAATAAATACAAGGTTTTTTTGATGTAGCCGTAATGAAAATGTTTTTAGTTTTGTATTTTGGATAAAAGGTGATGGGTAGGGTCCCGGATGTTCATGTTTTTAGAGGGGGAAATGTATATTGGATCATTATTTTTTGTAAGTAAAAGGCAAAGTGCAACTAATGTGACATTTATTGTGGCAACGTTTCGCTCCTGGAGAGTGAAACGTTGCCACAATAAATGTCACATTAGTTGCACTTGTGTCCTTTTACTTTACATATTGTCGGTAATTCTACAAACTTTATTACATTATTTAGTTGTAGCTACAGTTAGAGTAAGAGGTAGATGGGAAAAGAGGAAAGTGGCAACAACAAGTAAGAGGCAGGTGAAAGTGTATAAACTAAGGGAGGAGGAAGTTCAGGCGAGATATAAGCGACTATTGGCAGAAAGGTGGGCTAGTGCAAAGATGAGTAGTGGGGGGGTTGAAGAGGGTTGGAATAGTTTTAAAAATGCAGTATTAGAATGTGGGGCAGAAGTTTGTGGTTATAGAAGGGTGGGGGCAGGAGGAAAGAGGAGTGATTGGTGGAATGATGAAGTTAAGGGTGTGATAAAAGAGAAAAAGGTGGCTTATGAGAGGTTTTTTACAAAGCAGAAGTGTTATAAGAAGAGCAGAGTATATGGAGAGTAAAAGAAAGGTAAAGAGAGTGGTGAGAGAGTGCAAAAGGAGAGCAGATGAAAGAGTGGTAGAGGCACTGTCAAGAAATTTTAATGAAAATAAGAAAAAAATTTGGAGTTAAACAAGTTAAGAAAGCCTAGGGAAAGTATGGATTTGTCAGTTAAAAACAGAGTAGGGAAGTTAGTAGATGGGGAGAGGGAGGTATTAGGTAGATGGCGAGAATATTTTGAGGAACTTTTAAATGTTAAGGAAGAAAGAGAGGAAGTAATTTCATGCACTGGCCAGGGAGGTATACCATCTTTTAGGAGTGAAGAAGAGCAGAATGTAAGTGTGGTGGAGGTACGTGAGGCATTACGTAGAATGAAAGGGGGTAAAGCAGCTGGAACTGATGGGATCATGACAGAAATGTTAAAAGCAGGGGGGGATATAGTGTTGGAGTGGTTGGTACTTTTGTTTAATAAATGTATGAAAGGGGGGAAGGTACCTAGGGATTGGCAGAGAGCATGTATAGTCCCTTTATATAAAGGGAAAGGGGACAAAAGAGACAGTAAACTTATTCCTCTATAATTTTTACAGAGTATACCAGGAAAAGTGTACGGTAGGGTTATAATTGAAAGAATTAGAGGCAAGACAGAATGTAGGATTGCGGATGAGCAAGGAGGTTTCAGAGTGGGTAGGGGATGTGTAGATCAAGCGTTTACATTGAAGCATATATGTGAACAGTATTTAGATAAAGGTAGGGAAGTTTTTATTGCATTTATTGATTTAGAAAAGGCATATGATAGAGTGGATAGAGGAGCAATGTGGCAGATGTTGCAAGTATATGGAATAGGTGGTAAGTTATTAAATGCTGTAAGGAGTTTTTATGAGGATAGTGAGGCTCAGGTTAGGGTGTGTAGAAGAGAGGGAGACTACTTCCCGGTAAAAGTAGGTCTTAGACAGGGATGTGTAATGTCACCATGGTTGTTTAGTATATTTATAGATGGGGTTGTAAAGGAAATAAATGCTAGGGTGTTCGGGAGAGGGGTGGGATTAAATTTTGGGGAAAAATTCAAAATGGGAATTGACAGTTACTTCTTGCTGATGATACTGTGCTTATGGGAGATTCTAAAGAAAAATTGCAAAGGTTAGTGGATGAGTTTGGGAATGTGTGTAAAGGTAGAAAGTTGAAAGTGAACATAGAAAAGAGTAAGGTGATGAGGGTATCAAATGATTTAGATAAAGAAAAATTGGATATCAAATTGGGGAGGAGTAGTATGGAAGATTATTATTATTATTATTATAATCAAGGGGGAAGCGCTAAACCCGGAGGATTATACAGCGCCTGGGGGGGGGATATGTGGAAGGCATTCAGGCTTAATTCGGGGAACTGGAGCACAGATCCAATTCCCTAAATCAAGAGCCCCTCACCAACATCAAGGAACCTTCCTTGAGGGGAGTAGTATGGAAGAAGTGAATGTTTTCAGAGACTTGGGAGTTGATGTGTCGGCGGATGGATTTATGAAGGATGAGGTTAATCATAGAATTGACGAGGGAAAAAAGCCGAGTGGTGCGTTGAGGTATATGTGGAGTCAAAAAACGTTATCTATGGGGGAAAGAACGGAATGTATGAAACATAGTTACCAACATTTATATGGGGTTGTGAAGCTTGGGTGGAAAATGCACAGCGAGGAGAGGGTTGGAGGCGTGGGAGCCCTGTTTAAGGGCAATGTTGATGTAAATTTTTATGCAGAAAATTCAAGTGTGGAAATTAGGAGAAGGTGTGGATTTAAATAAAAGCATTAGTCAGAGGGGAGAAGAGGGGTTGTTGAGGTGGTTTAGTCATTTAGAGAATGGATCAAAGTAGAATGACATGGGAAAGCATATAAATCCATAGGGGAAGAAGGCGGGGTAGGGTCATCCTTGAAAGGTTTGGAGAGAGGGGGTAAAGGGGTTTTGTGGCAAGGGGCTTGGACTTTCAGCAAGCATGCATGAGCGTGTTAGGCATAATGGTACTTGGGACCTGACGATCTGTTGGGTTGAGAGGGTAATATTTAGTGAAGGGATTAGGGAAACCAGTTATTGTTCATTAGTCGGACTTGAGTCCTGAAATGGTTAGTACAATGCCTCACTTAAAGGAGGGGTTTGGATTTGGAGTTTGGAGGGAAATATGTTGTGTATTCTTTATATGTATTTTCTAAACTGTGTTTCTGACACCTCTGCAAAAACTGATAATGTGGAGTGTGGTGAAGAGTGTTGAATGATGATGAAAGTATTTTTTGGGGATTTTTTCTTTTTTGGGTCACCCTCCCTCGATGGGAGACGGCCACCTTGTGGGGGGAAAAAAAAAAAAAAAAAATTATTGTAATCAAAAAGAAGCACTAAGCTTATGGGCATATACAGCGTTAGGACGAGGGAAAGTTTAGGTGGCATGTTGAGCAACAGTATTACATTTGCACTTAGGGAAAAAAGTGAACGTCACGGTTGTATTTAAGAATGCTCATTGAAGAAGGACGTATTATTTCAGGCAAGATGTGGCTAATTTATCGGGCACAACAGAACCCCAATCCTTGTGTTGTTACATGAATAGATGACACTCATCTTTTGCATGCAATTACGTGGCCATACGGGCCAGGAAAAATCCTTTGGGAGCCTAGAGTAATCCAAATTTTAACTGCCAGCTGAAGCTTTTACCAGGAATCACAGCAGTCATGGCACCCATAATCCGTTCGTTAGTTAAAAACTCATCCTGAAGCATTAACGGTCTTCCTTGATGCAATCTGCAATTGGTGCTGCTGCTTTTTTCTGGCAAGGCAGCAATAATTTATAATGGTATAATTTTATCAATTTTTCGGAGGCAGCTGGTTTAAAAAACTGCATACATTTATGGGTGAATGCTAAACTTTAAGGGTTGCTATCTGCAATATAGGCCATCAAGTTCCATCCAAGGAAGGACATATTATTATTATTATTATAATCAAAAAGAAGCGCTAAGCCACAAGGGCTATACAGCGCTGCAGGAAGGACATAGCGTTTTCCCTTTAAGGTTTTGCAGGCATAAGAACCCCTTCACATGTTTATTTTACAATTTTAATAATAATGCATCAATTATATCCCTAAAAGAAAATAAAAGCCATTACAAGTGCTTTAAAGTTTATTGTAAAAATAGATGTTCAAAAAGCACATTTTTTATGTGGATGATGATCTCCACATATCATGGACGTTGGTGGTGTCCACATGCTGCCCTGCACTATTCAGCCAATATTACCTGATGCTACCAATTGTATAATCTGCAAGGGCAGTGTTGAGATGGAATCCTGATCAGTTTTATTTCCAATATTTATAGCTCTTCATACATTAAGAATTTAACCCTAACCAATTTAACTATTACATTGTAATCAACTGGACAATTCAATGAAAGTGGCAAGTAACCTAATCAATTTAACTACAGGATCCTCTCAAAAAAATTAAAATAAATAAAAAGTATCATTGTCTCAAGTTGAACTGCATTAAAAAAAATACTGATTTTTTCCGCAGCAGGTGAAGCTGTAAGGTATTCGTGTAGTTTTCCTTTTTGATCACAACTTTCACTTCAGACCTCCTTGGCCTCTTATACGAGGTACCAACCTACACGTCTATACTGGCAGGCTCCAGTATTATCTAATGCTTCTATCACTCGTAACAGGAGGGTCCTATTTGTACATTTTTTATACTGATTATGTTCCATTTGCCGGACAAAAAGGAACTGCATATGAATGTCATAGCATAACAATGGCTTCCAATCATCACAGTCAGCCATTTGGTAAAAAAATTTCCTTGCACCTAGAGAAGACTAACATAATGCTGCTGGTTTGTAACCAACACCCAGAATCACCATTTAAAGAAAACCTGTTCAATAAATCCAATCATCACTTGCTTATCTTATTCACTCTTTTCCAGTCTTTTCCATTCCTCTTGCCAAGTAACACCAATTTATTCTCTAACCAAATCACTCCAGAGCCTTTCTATCCAGTACAGTCTTTCCAGGAACTGAACAGGTCAGGTCTTCTCTTGACAATGTGGACCAAGTAAATGTCTCTTTTTACACTATCTGCCAACAGATATTCACAAGCATTCATCTTGCTCCAAGAAAAAAAAAAAGTTCCCCAGAAGGTTAATCTTTGAACCAAAATACTCAATTTAATACTTTCTAACTTCGAGTTAGAACTGTCGAGTCTATTTTACTTTCTTAGTTTCAGCACCTTTCACAATCTAATTTCACCCAAAGTGTCAAACACCAAGAGAAGTAAAGATCCAGTTGCATTGATTAAAGCTTTAAATTATCTCCTTACCTAGGAACAGTCACCCTACAATAATTTATTTTTGTTTTTTTACACATTTTTTCATATTCTCAACCTTCATCCTGATCCTAGGTAGGTGCAGTATTGTGCATCACACTATTACTTGGCCTGTGTAGCATTCCGAACTGCAGATGCATACGAGCTACCAGCTCCACCGCCACCTCTTGACATTCCGTTCACGTTTACTATACCGCCTCTTCCCCCACCACCACCTCTGCCTCCACGAAAGACACCACTACCAGACCTGTAGGATGGATGCACTAGCTTTTAATTCCATAAAATTATGAAAAACTGTTAGTGAAAAATTTCAGTCCTGTAAAATAAAGCAATTAAAAATTATACAGGAATACACAAGAAATTATTGAAACTGGAAACATATACAGTGGACCCCCGGCTTACGATATTATTTCATTCCAGAAGTATGTTCCGGTGCCATTACTGAACGAATTTGGTCCCAAAAAGGAATATTGTGATTAGATTAGTCTATTTCAGACGCCCAAACATACACGTACAAACGCACTTACATAATTGGTCGCATTGGGAGCCGATCGTAAACCGGGGGTCCACTGTACTAATCATCTACGAGAAGAATCACGATACTGTATATTTATTGTGAATGAAAATTCAAAGTGGAAAGCAAGTGTTATACAGGAGATTCCTGGGAATATAAGTAATGAACAGGAAATGTTTTAGTGCCAGTTATATCTAAATTGTTTATTCTGGACCCTATTTTTTAATTGTGTGAAATTGGCCAAATTACCAATTTGTTACTATTGGGTAATTTAAATAATTAAATAGGCAGTTTCTTGTACTCAATAGAATGGAAGGCATACTAGTGAAATAGCTAAGAGTCTGGTCGACAAACAGCAGAATTGGCCTAAAATAAGCCTCAGTGGCGACAGCGCCTATGCGTAAATATCACCAAAACTGCCAAGTTTGAAAAATCGTAATTCTATAAGTTCTCAATCAAATTTTGTACTTTTGAATGTCATTACCTCCAGGAAGTTCCTCTATCATTTCATAAGAATTTTTTAAACCTTTAAATCCTGAGAGTCACTTTCAGATTGGGGTCTGGATCCTGAAAGGGTTAAATAGGTTTGGTAGATTTTCAAGAGCTCCGTTGTAATGAATTGCCATAGCATTGAAAAGTAAAAGTTTAGTTTCTATATAAAAAAAGTATGCTCGAAAATTCACACTTTCCCCAAAATCAATTTTATGTATTACAGAAATTCAATGATACACATACCTGTAATACCCTTGGTTATAATTATACGTGCGATAGTAACCTCCACGGTAGTAGCCACCTCGACCACGAGGGTAATATCCTCTTCTGGCTGAGCTCACACCAAAAGTTTCCACATTAATCTTGCGTTCATGCCTCCAGTCAGGACGTTGGCTATTCCTGAAAAGATGGAGCATTTAGGAAATTACCTGAACACTAAAGTGTCAAATGACAATATTTAGTGTTTTAAAGAAAATGAAAGGTCCTGAATATGGCACTATGTATCCAGCAGGGAACATTTACAGTACTGTTAATTAACCTTATCAAGATTTAAATCATTTTATTTATTATTTTTTATTATCACACTGGCCGATTCCCACCAAGGCAGGGTGGCCCGAAAAAGAAAAACTTTCACCATCATTCACTCCATCACTGTCTTGCCAGAAGGGTGCTTTACACTACAGTTTTTAAACTGCAACATTAACACCCCTCCTTCAGAGTGCAGGCACTGTACTTCCCATCTCCAGGACTCGAGTCCGGCCTGCCGGTTTCCCTGAACCCCTTCATAAATGTTACTTTGCTCACACTCCAACAGCACGTCAAGTATTAAAAACCATTTGTCTCCATTCACTCCTATCAAACACGCTCACGCATGCCTGCTGGAAGTCCAAGCCCCTCGCACACAAAACCTCCTTTACCCCCTCTCTCCAACCTTTCCTAGGCCAACCCCTACCCCGCCTTCCTTCCACTACAGACTGATACACTCTTGAAGTCATTCTGTTTCGCTCCATTCTCTCTACATGTCCGAACCACCTCAACAACCCTTCCTCAGCCCTCTGGACACAGTTTTGGTAATCCCGCACCTCCTCCTAACTTCCAAACTACGAATTCTCTGCATTATATTCACACCACACATTGCTCTCAGACATGACATCTCCACTGCCTCCAGCCTTCTCCTCGCTGCAACATTCATCACCCATGCTTCACACCTATATAAGAGCGTTGGTAAAACTATACTCTCATACATTCCCCTCTTTGCCTCCAAGGACAAAGTTCTTTGTCTCCACAGACTCCAAAGTGCACCACTCACTCTTTTCCCCTCATCAATTCTATGATTCACCTCATCTTTCATAGACCCATCCGCTGACACGTCCACTCCCAAATATCTGAATACATTCACCTCCTCCATACTCTCTCCCTCCAATCTGATATCCAATCTTTCATCACCTAATCTTTTTGTTATCCTCATAACCTTACTCTTTCCTGTATTCACCTTTAATTTTCTTCTTTTGCACACCCTACCAAATTCATCCACCAATCTCTGCAACTTCTCTTCAGAATCTCCCAAGAGCACAGTGTCATCATATTTACACAATTTCAAACTGGATTCCTAATTATGGAATTCTTATAAACACCCTACACTAGGGCCCTACTTCAATTCCCCACATCAAGCAGAAAGCAGACAATTGAAGGCAAAAATGCATTGATCAAAGAAGTGCTAAACTTACGATGGTCGGCAAAAATATAAACAAGGCTAAATGTGTGGTACACAAACAAATGGTAATGATAACAGGTATAAAGATGTGGGTACACATCACAAAACTTGGTAGGCTCCTTGACGCTGGTGGGAGGCTCTTGAACTAGGGAACTGGATCTCTGCTCCAATTTCCTGAATTAAGCCTGAAGGCCATCCACCCTCTCTCCCCCAAATTGAAAAAAACCCAATTCTATCAAATCTTTCAGATTATTTTTTGGGGGTAAATTTTAACAAGAGTGGATCAACACCAGACACTTCATAAGACATGCAGAAAACAATCCAAAATTTTTTTACCATTCTCAGTCAAAAATCAGTTTGTTGCAATCCCTAGGAAAATAAGTTTTTAAGGAAGATCACAATGAGTTCATCAATGTAAATAAAATACAAAACAAAGGTAATACTAAATGAAAGTAACTGCCAGCAATGCTTGGGGATGCAATTCCTGCAAATCTGAAGGGAGCACTATACTGTCCTGTACTATACATGCAGTCTTATTTTTGTTAAGCATTTATGTCTTGAGTCTGATTTTTTCCTCACCCCAACCTACAAACTTACCCTTGACTGCGCTCAATTGACTCGCACGAAATGCTGTCAAAGAAAGACTTGCTCTTATCATAACATGTTGACTGAGTCTCCACATCATCCCCAGCATTGGTTTCATGCCCCGAATCATCCTTCTTGTCTCCATTCTCAGTGATCTTTGTTTTTGCAAGTTGACTTCTAACTTCCTCAAACTCCTCATTTGCTTGCTCAAAGTCAAAGTCTTTTTCAAATAACTGCCGATCCTGGAACTGTCTTTGTCTGGTTCCTTGATTAAAGATCTGTCCCCTGCCACGCTGCCCTGAAGGTCTTCTACTGCCCCGGCCACGGTTCATGCCGCCTCCACCTCTGCCTTGATACTGCTGCTGCTGGCGATACGCATAGTACTGATTATTGTACTGTTGCTGCTGCTGTTGCTGTTGCTGCTGCTGTGGCTGGTTTTGACTCTGTTGAGGCTGTTGTTGACTCTGTTGCTGTACTTGTTGAGTCATTTGCTGTTGTGGTACCTGCTGAGTATTGCGTCTACTTTGGCCACCCTGGTTACTACTCCTCTGAGATCTGAAAAAACTCAAAGGTCAGACTCATCCACAATAAAATGAATTTTAATAAACTTTTACAACTTAGTACTCAACAAAAAATTGAAAAATCCAATTGTATGAATTTTGAGTGGCAATTTTACATGCAAATAAGAGGCAACAGGACAAATATTTCTTAGGTTGTAAACTGCTAAAATAGAATATAAGAAATACTTGTGCATATTGCTATTTGAAACTTCAAAAGTCAAATTCATACTTTGAGAATTCAAGTCTACAGTGCTTGTTATTACCAAATAGTTTTGGACTAATAAAATTTTAGCACTTCAAAATTAAGGCAATTAAAATTCTGATGGAAAATTATATTCTCCATTTACCTGTCTTGTGACTGCCGCTGTGGCTGTGGTGGAGGCTTCTTTTTCTCCTCCCTGGTGGGAGGTGGGGACACTTGAACACCAGCATCAGAGACTGGGGACTTGCGAGTAGTGGGTGTGGACGATCTTGATCCTACTAGTAGGTCTGATACAAAACGTTATCCTGTTACTTTGTAATGAGTTTTATTCAGATCTTGCATCAATCATAAGAAATATCCACTTTCCAGAGCCAGCTATTACTCAATTACACTGCTAAATACATAGGTCAGAGCTTGGGGAGTGGTAGGTAACAAGGTCTGATCCCAAAGGGAAGGGCAGCTCCAATTCCTTGTATGAAGATCTTTTTATCAGCATTAAGGCTTCCCCTTTATGGGATTAACTACTGTGGGCCACAATACTTTACTCACTCTTCAAGAAGGTACATTATCTAGGATTGTTTTAAAAGGCTAGTAATATGGAATTTAATATGGCATTTGAACTAGTTACCATGGGACTATAATTTATACCTAGAAAATATTGAAGTACAGTGCTTGCACTCTGAAGGAGGGGTGTTAATGTTGCAGTTTAAAAACTGTAGTGTAAAGCACCCTTCTGGCAAGACAGTGATGGAGTGAATGATGGTGAAAGTTTTTCTTTTTCGGGCCACCCTGCCTTGGTGGGAATCGGCCAGTGCGATAATAAAAAATAAATAAAAAATATTGGAGACCTTAGTTTCAAGTCAAGACAAATACCTCAAGAGACCGAGAGGTACTGAATTACATTCACTGAAGGAGTGGTAAACCCAAAGGGATAAAATAAGGCATTCAGGTTTTATTCAAGGAATTGGAGCATTGGTCCACGAGGTACTGAAGACAGTGCAAATAAACCTTATATCATAAAATCTTTATATTCACCAATATTTAACAATGATAATGTAAGGGAAATTAACAAAATAGCTTTTTCAACAGATACTGAAATTCCTACAAACAGTTTCTGACCAACCAGAGTGTTTTGCCTATGGGTGAAGTTTAATTTACTTAATGCCTAATATCTGCTACATTTAAGGCTCTTGGCACATTTGTACTCCAAGATGTTTAACTGTCCACTTTCTGTAAGTGTTCCTCCACTTTCACCTACTGTACTGTCCGTTACGTACATTACACATCTCCCACGACAGTACTTCCATTATGTGCAACTTTCAACAAAAACAAATTCAAATATTACTAAAGTACTTTTATTAGTGTAAACTTGTATGTACATGTGCAGAAAGGCCAATTCAGAAACAGATCAGCCTCAACATTTTAGTCTATCATGGGGAAATGCAGGGTCACACACTCCATGCATTTCCCAATTTTGATGGTCTAGGTATGTTAATACAGTAGTGAATTAAATGTTAATAGTAAGGCAACTTTACAATTAATTAAAACTATTGTATACTCACATGCATATTTAAATTCATTACTAATGTGGTAAAAATATTTAATAAACAATTTTCTACAGTGACTAAAAATAGTGCATTACTGTCACCAACTAAAACAAAGGAACAAATGCCAAAAGACTAATGCAGCAGTAAAAATGTTTTTGTACAAGGCTGAAAAGCTAATCAAAATAATACAATAGAGAAAAAGACTTTTGTAAAAATCCAAAACATAACAAAAGCCCCAAACAAAAGGGTTTACAAAAAACCTTGTCAATGGCACAAAGTTTTAAAAAATAAAGATAAAAGCACTAAATTCAGAAAACACAGGGACAATTTTCAGGTTTTAAAACTTTTATGTTTTTAAACAAAACCAAAGCAAAAAGGGGGCTTTAAAACCCAAATTTAAAGTTTCCAAAAAAGTTGATATTGAGACAACCCAAAGGTTTTCAAAAAACCAGGACACTGCAAAAAGGTCACTGGCAAATTTAAGGGATGAACCCCTTTTCCCGAATGGAAAAGTACACTGGAACAAATTTCCTTGAAGCCAAAACTTTAGACAGTACAGTTTTATTATTATTAAAATTTCAAAAAGAAGCCCCAAAGCCAAAAGGGGCTATACAGGGGCTTGCGGGTAGGGAAGGAAGCAAGGGAATTGGGTTTGGCAAAAAAAAGGGGGGGGGATGATCACGGGAAACCGGAAAACCCGGGGCAAGGGATAGAAGGGGGGTGGGGGTAGCAAGAGTTTCAAGTAAAAAAGGGCGAAAGTATCGAATTTTGTGAACCCGGCAGTCGTTGTCAAAAATCAAGGGAAGAACCCGGATAAAAGGGGGGGGCCCAATCAGCGAGAAGGAAGGTAAAGAGAGAGCAGCGGGGCAAAACAAAGACAGGGGAAAATTCGGGCTTTGTTTCTTGAAAAAGGGGGGCAGCCCCCAACAGAATGGGGCTAAACTGTTAATGAGTTTGGAAATCTCACAAAGGGGAGAAAAAACGCCTCCCCCAGAAAAACCAAGAGAAAGGGACGAGAAGGGCCAATGCGAAGACGGGAGAGAGTAGCCCCCCAACCCCGACACTGGTGAAAAGAAAACGGCCAGTAACCAATATTTGGGAAAAATTGACTGAAATTTTTGTTGCCGAGCATAGGCCCAAAACGTTTTTTGCCAAGGGGTTTTGAAGGGGGGAAATTTTTACAGCAAAATAGAACCGTACAGGGAATACCTCAAATAAAAAAACTGGGGGGGTAATGTATTTGCGGGCCCCCCGCAGCTTTGCCCTCCCTTTTTAAATTCCCCTGTACTAAACAGACCGGGGCCCCAAAACAAAAAAAAATACCCTTTTTGTTTAAAGTAAAGAGGCGGCGTACCCAAAAATTTTTGGAAATACGGGGGAAACTAAGGGTGAGGTTAATAAAATTTTTTTATAGCCTGTAAAGCACAAAGGGGGAGTCTGAGACAACCAAAAATGATGACACAGGCATAAAAGAAAAACGGATAAGTGCTGAAAAGGAGGGCATAAAATTAAACAGTAAAAAAATTACTGAAGAAAGTAAATGCCCTTTTACGACGCTGTCCGGAAAACACGGCGCAATTTCCAACGCCGTCAAAGACTTAGAGGCCATCTGTGTACACAGCAATGGCAAGGGAAAAAGAGATTTAAAGGGGGTTTCCAAGAAAAAAAAAGGCGGGAAGGGGACCGTAGACAGTTGGGGGCTTTCGACCCAAGGGGGAAAAAAAAACAACTCGAAAAAGCTTGGAATTTCCCCGGGGGGGAAAAAGAAAATGAGATGCAAACATGTCCATAAAAGGGGGTTTGGTTGAAAGAGAAAAAACAAAGCGAATAAAAGGCGAAGAAAAAGGGGACGGAGAAAAACCCAGGGGGGCGGCTAACAAATAATGTCTACTAATTCATTGACCTTTCCAATAAAGGGAAAGGGTTTTGGGGAGATAAAGAGGGGCGTACATAGTCCGCAGGAAATGGGCTCACAGGCGATGGGAAAAGGGAAAGGAAACCCGTTGGGGTTTCCCGCATAGGGCTTTCGACGGGGGGGAAGACAAAAAAGCCCCCCAAGGGCAAAAACGTAATCCTTGGTGATAAAATGGGGTTAAGATTTAAAAAGAGAAGCGGGAATCCCCGCTGAATGATCTGGTAAACCATAATCAATTTTCGATAAAATAAGGGGGGAATGTGGGTGAAGGGGGGGTTTCAAACGATAAACCTCCCCACGAAAGATACAAGGTTTTAAGAAGGTTCCCCGGGCGGGAACAAGTTGCCTTCAGAGAGGTAATGTGGGGGTTTCCAGGAAAACCAAAATTAACCCCAAAGGGGGAAAGGCCCAAAAACTTGACTATCACGTTCAGGGAAGGGGAGCCAAATAGGAACAAAGGTAAATGGGGAGATGAAAGACCCGCAAGTGAAAGTTTTTTTGGGGGGGTTTTAGGGTGCTGGAAAATTTAAAACCCATGTGTGGTGGCCCAATTGGAAACACGGTGGGACGCATGCTGGAAGAAACTGTAAGGAGGTGACAGTCAAGCGCCTGCCCCGCAATGGGCGAAGTCATCAACATAGAGTGAAAAACCAAATATTTTGATGAAGACAAGGGCCCCAAACTTTAAAAAAGCAAGGAAAAAAAGTGTTGTGCTCAGAACAAAATCCCGGGGGACACCTTCAGCTTGGAAAAAAAGCCCCGGGGGAGAGCACTTTATTAACCCGAACACGGAAATGCCTGTAAAGTTAAAAAGTTTTTAAAGGGAAAGGGAAAGGAGATTCCCAAAGGCCCTTTAAGGATGGGTTTGGGGGCTAAAATAAATACCCCCAAAAGTTGTGTCTTTATGCCTTCTCAAGGTCAAAAATAGGAAAATAACGGGGAGGGGTTTATTCCCCAAAGGCTTTAAAGGGAACCAACGACCAACGCAGTAAGGGGTCTAGGGTTAAAACGTCCCTTACAAAAGGGCCATTTTGACGAGGGGAGAGATTTAGGTGCCCCTCAAAATACCACACTAAAACAAAAATTTTTATTTAACGTTCCTTTAACTTTGAAAACCCCGCCTGGAAACAATGGACGATGGGTGGGGGGTTTTAAATGTCCCGTAGTCCCTTTGGTTTGCGGAAAGGGAGAACAATGGCGGTTTTCCCCAACACTGGGAAGAACTTCCTTGTGCCCCAAAATTAAATTGTAAAGGCGTAATGGGGACGGGGAAAGGGGCCCTGACTAAATGAAAAAGTTTAGCATACGAAAAAAGAAGGGTCGCCCGGGGCCCCACTGCCGATGTTTCGACAAGCTGAGGGGTTTTTGCCTCCATTTCTTGAATTAAAAAGGGCACATTAAAAACTTTTTCTTCTCGAGAGAAGAAAAGCCGGGGGTGCAAACTCTCTGGCAGATTTTGAGGAAAGAAATAAAGGGGAAAAGGGTTTGGAGTCCCTGAAAAAATAGGGACCAGATGATTCCAATTTCATTGGCAACATCTAGGGGGTTTTGCTATTTTAAACACCGGGGCAACCCGCGGGAACAGGACCCGGGGTCAGGAGAATTTTTTCCCCACCCCTTTTTTGGGTACTTTTTTTCCAAAACTGCACTCTTTAGAGGAAGCAGAGGTGAGGGGGAGACAATCTCCCAGCAAGTGCGTTTGGGCTTTTCCACGGATGACACGGCGAGCAAAATGGGCCAAGTTTCCTTTTTTTAAAAATCAAGGGGGTCGCTCTGTTTTTTCCAAATTGTCCGGTACCTGCCCCATGCGCGTTTTTCCAAAACC